CTTTAAGGAAATATGCTGGAATATTTCTTGCTTGAAATATTTTGCATCTACACGTAACAATACATTGACAGCTATATGCTGTATTTACCGTCATCTGAACAAAGCAGCACTTTGTCTGACTGTAATCTGTGTTTATGTGCACCATCTGTCCCCAGCAGCAGGCAAATCAATCCAGGCACAAAAAGTTTCTTTCCTCACACTAACTTCCACTGAGTTTCATGCTATATATATATAATATAGGTGTAATGCTGGGAGCTCATACTGTTGACTCAGCATCATCAGTTGGACGCGTTAGTGTTGATATAATTTGTGTGTTTAGCCCTTTTACCTAATTAAATTAATTTATTGTTCTTTTTTTAACAACACTGGCAGCTAATGTTAAACCAGCCTCAACAGCCTTTTTACATAAATTAAGTTTTTATGTGATGTTTTGTGCATAAAAAAAAAAAAAAAATTAAGAACATTTGTCAAAACAGTGTTGGAAAAGCGCAGCTACATCTAAGCTTAATTAACATCAGGAGCACCAGAGATCAGACCGGCGTGGGGCAGGACGGAGCAGAACACAACAGGACCAAACGCCACAGAACAGAACAGCTGAGGAAAGATCAAGAGGGAAAAAAAAACTGCAAACACACATAGAAAAAAAAAAAAACACAACACAGAGCGAACTGGAGGAAGACACAACCTGGAAAAAGAGAAAACAAAGAGCTCACATGTCTGCACGCGCTGCCGCAGCAGCTCCCTCTCTGACGGTGGGCATATTCTGTGAACACCTTATACCCGCTGGAAGGGTCGACATACATCTGCTTCTTCGCCTGAGCATAATGGAGATATTATTATTTAATTAGTGCGACATACAAACACGTATGCTGGAATGTGACCCCCGCATACATAACCGTATACAGAAACGTATACGTAGGAATAACACAGAATACCAGCTCGTGCAGACAGATTGCTTTGGGTCAAGGAGAAGAGGAGAACGGACGACCTCTATGCATACAAACAGATGTAAGACAGTCGAATTCTTGTGATGTTACTTAATTAATTAGTGCTATTACTTGTGCTTTTGTGTGCAATTCAGTGGGTGAAAATCTGCAACCAACTGCTCGCCCTGCAACAACGTGATCCCCTGAAGATTGTCAGTAAAACAGATTTTAGACACAATCAGTCTTTTATTTGGACCGGTCGCCACACACACACCTACACACACACACACACACACACACACACACACACACCTTCTGTAAGTGAAAAACACTGAACTCCTCTGCCTTCCCCTAGGAAGTTAGAAAATGTCATCTCTCAGTCTGTTTCAAACTGAGAGCCCACTAGTTGGTGAGCTTTGACAGGCCACAAAGGGAAAAAGGCCCTAGGCCCTTTAGTGACACGGCCTGTCATTTCACATGGCATTGCAAGGCCACATAGTGAAGCTGGCATAGCGGGGCCCCCTCTGTATTGTGCTTTTCCCACCCAGGCCCTAGCAGTCTCCTCAGGTCGCGGCCAACTTGCCTCAACTTCATCCACACTCAGAAGCACAATATTTAGAGCAGAGCAGCCTAAAGGCACGCAGATGACACCGAGTCACTGTCGTCATCAGCACCGAGCGCGCTGGTTCTGTTTGATGGACGAGCGAGTAGGATTTGGTGAATATCCAGCATCTGGCAGAAGCACTTATCGTCATTACTTTACGACATGAACTGTGTTTGTAAAACCGGCGACGTCCACTCAGCCCAAACAGTTTTAACCTGAAATGTTTTGATAATATCAACGATAAAGTTTTGCAGCTCTCAGGGCAAAACTCCTGAAAAAAAACTGTCAGGACTGCTTGGTAAATAAAAAAATATATATATTAATGAGGGAGATGAGAATGGAACACCTCGTTTGGACATCACTGATCACTGAATTCTCTTTCAGTGATTAAAATTAAAGTGAATTTTTATATTTTTGCCCCAGGGGCAGTAGAGCTGCATCACAGGTGGCACATTATCATACGATCACACTGTAACTGCCACAGAACCTGCTTCAGCAAATCATGTTGGTACTGGTCCAGTGTTTTTGACGCTGATCTGGACCGTTGTGGATGTGACCCACAGTGAGCGCCGACATTTGACACGACCGTCAGTTCTGTTTGAATATTCTCACGTGTCACGACAACGAGGACATTTCTGTTGTTATAGTTAAAAAAATGTAAAATACTTCAACTTAATCTGCGTTATGTTTTCATTGCAGCATTACTTCTTTTTTTTTTTGCACTAATATTCACAGATGTTTCAGGATTACTTCATTCTTGGGTCCAAACTGTGCTCAGCTCTGATCTAATAATCTAATTTTATTAAAATCTAATGTACATTTACTTACATGCTGCACTAAAACAGAACCAAAATGAAATGTTCTATCATATTGTAATCCACTACATTTAAGAGAGAAATATAATTTTTTGACTCAAACACAATTATTTGACACTAATGGTTCCTTTTTAGCTTCAGATTTTAAATACAAATATGACTAGAGGGCAACAATCACTGACCTAAATGATTACTGGATCAGATATTCAGCTTTTAAAATGTTTTTATTTTACTTTTTTTTTAACTTGTGCTAAAATAAATTCATTTAGAAATGTTCTACTTTAGCTCGGACGCCAAAGTCACACCTCTGTGCTGCCGCCAGCATCATGTGATCGGAGCTCAGCGACCAGGCCACACTGAAGGATGTGTTTTAATTATTATATTTTAAATGAACATATGTAAAACATAATTAGACAGAATTAGAATTAGGAGACTTTTCAACAGAGCTTTATGTTGGTTTGTGTTGTTCTCAACTTTAACAGCAAGAATTTATTTTTTACTGAAATTTTATAACATTCAAATGTGGGTTTATTAGCAGAGTGACAGATATGGTGTGTTCAGGGCTGATACTAATACAGATTATTAGCAGACAAACAGACTGATAACCTGACTCACTGCAGTTCCAGCACACCAGCTCACCTTCGACTGCTCACACACAGTAAAACTACCACATGACACAATAGTAAGCTGTAGTTTTCTGGTATTTCAGCCACTTGTACCTGGACAGGAAACTGATGGTGAAGGAGGATAATGATGAAGAAAGTCCCAGCTGGACAGTTGACAGGATTAGTTCTCTAGTTTTGTTATGTGTTAAAGTTTAAATCCGTGTTTTTGAGTCTTTTGGAACACTGCAGTCTCCGGTTGGTAACACTCAGCAGGACTTCGACTGCTTATTGACTCCAAATATCGATCGTCAGGGATTTTTTTTAGGTCCGATACACATTATTAGTGATCACAAGACTGATAACTGACATGTGGAACCAATACAGAGCATCAGTGACAATGAACATAACAGTAGTATTATTTAGAAAAACACAAACACAGATTTCTAACCAGTCAGACTGTGCTGTAGCTGGGACAATAAAGTGAGTAAAGGTCGTGGAACACATTCTGAAATCCAATTATTTTGTTGGAAATTGTTGGTTTTTGGTTTGTTTTTTTATATATATAAAAAAAGCTAAACGTCAAATGTGGTAATTGGCCAAGTTGATAATCAGTCGTGATTTTTCTGATACTGTGATTTGATTTGAAGTATCTATTTCTAAGTCAAGCTTCAGTTTCATATTCAACGTCTAACAGATTCAGGCCTGTTCAGGACTTTCATGTTGCCGTACGTAGAAGATCCTTCAGGGTCCCCAAGAAAGAATATGTACAAAATATTAGTTGGTATTCAATAAAGACTTTTATATCATGTTAATTACATGTTCTGATAAGTTGGTTTTTGGTTCCAAATGCATGACAAATGTCCCTCTTCTTCTGTTTTAAAAAAAAAAAAATCCTCAAAAATAAAAACACAACACCTGTCATCTAAACCAAATGGACTTGGGTCAAGAAGACCCCAGAAGTCCTGAACAGGGTTAAACATGTGAGGACTGCTTTAACTTGTAAAACCATTGACGTGACAGTTTAAACCCTGGATCAGATGTGCTGTATCAGCAGTCCTAAAGCGCAGCCTGTGCGATTTGCTAATGGCATCGTTTTAAAGCAAAATCGACTCTGTACCCCATCCCTGTTAGTTTTTGGTCTCCTTGATGTCTAATAATTGGTATTGGCCTTGAAAAAAACCCAATATCAGCTGACCTCTAAATATGACCATGTGATATTTAATCAAACGTTGGACCGGACCAGCCACCCACCCACAGGGAAACTATCTCATTAATACAACGTGCTGCAGTGCTTTAGTGATGCTTACATGTTAATCAGGTGAGTTTTGCAGTTTAAACACAGCATGTAACCATGAGTATGTAGCTGATTATGTCCTCCTAAGTCACACTTTAAATGATCAGACTTCGTGCATGGTGTCATCTTTCCTCTGCACCTCCATCCTACAGCTGAGCATCGAAGAACAAACATGTGGTTTTCATTCATCATGTGAGTCTGACTGTAATCTGATTGTGCAACATGACACGATTGGATTTGAAGTCGTTGGAGTGATGTATCTTACCTCACATGCCTCTCTATGGATTGCATGGATGGCCATGTCCTCCTCTGTGAACTTTGCAGCAGCAGCAGCGTGCTCGCCCCCCGCGCTGCGCGTCCCCGCCGCGCTCCTCCTGACTCCATCGATCTGCGGCGCGCCGCCGTCCGCCTTCCAGCCTTCCTCCTCTTCTGAGAGCTTCGCTATTGACATGGTTACGAGTCGTTTATTAAACTGGACACGGAGGAGAATCAGTCTGCTGATGGCACCTGGGTAGCTCTGGTGAAGCATGCTCCTGTTAAAAAAATAAATAAATAAAAAAAATAAAAAACTTAGCGTGGTGTCATTTAAAACCAAAGAGGAACCGGCTTCATGACTTTGACTTTGCTTCCCGACTTGGAGTTGTGTTACAAAAAAGAAAAAAAAAGAAAAATACAGAGAACTTCTGTGGGGGAGAATAAAAGTCTTTTTAAAATTAAATTAAATTAAATACAGTGAACGCGCTTTTCCTTGTTTGTATCGTCACTGAGCAACATGTTGTCTTTCTGCTGCCTCCTCCGTGTTTTGCTGAACACAAACATTTCTACTTCCTCCTCTGGCCTCCGTCACTCTGCTGCCATGTGACCACCTCCTAACTGCTCCTCCTGCTCACACAGCGCCTCTGCTGTTCACAGCTGCTGCTCACATCCTCCATATGAGGATAAGTCCACTGTGCAGAGGGATGCAGAGCAGCAATCATCATGCAAAATGCAATAATAAATTATCATAATATGATAAAGTGCAGGATGTGATTAGTTGTTTTTTAACAGCAGGTGTTGGCCAGTGGGAGCTCCTCGCTGTGCAAAGATGGTGGAGAATGATCAGAGGAGATGCATGATGGTCATCGTGCTACCCAGGGTGATGCTAAGGATCAACCAGAATCAGAATCTGTAAGTATTTTCTGCATATGAGGAATGTGAGAAGGTTGTGGTGCACAACACTGACCAGGTGAAATGTTAAAGAATAAAGAAAAGCAGGTGTTGCAGGAAAATCAACAGTAAATGTGACGACTCAAGAAACAAGTGAGCGCAGAAAATCTAATCATGAAGTACTAAAATACTAGAAATACTTAAAGTGTTACCGTAACTGTTCTGGACTAATGAAGCACCTGAATATAAGCCACGCCCACTTGTCTATAAGCTGCAGGTGTCCACGTTGTAACATGAGATGTTTACACAGAAAGATTATTTTAACTTTTAATTCAATACGTACCGGTAACATACACAAATACGTAGATGCTTTTTTTCCCAACAGTTCCTGTAACATGGCTGGTAAAAAAAAAAAAACTACAGCAGTCTACCAGGAAAAGTCACTGATCGCTATCTTCATCTTCCTCCTGCACTAAAACCACTAAAGTCGTCTCCTTCAATGTCTTCAGGAGTTAAACAGCCTCAGAATCACTTCATCACTTCCTCAGTCTCTCTGTCGTTGTCGCTCTCAGTGTCACTTCGAGGCAAATTAATAAAAATCCATAAATTAGCTGCATCAGTATTCAAAGCCTGTGAAAAAAGTAGTGGCTTATAGTCCAGACATTACGGTAAATGAGACAGCTACACAGAGCAGGAACCTGCAAATGGTTTGCCTGAGAATGTGCACGAACTCACAGTCTTAGTTTTAATCAAACCATTCAAGGTACACAGGTGATAACTGAAACTTCTCTGACACACCTCAGATATTTACCAACAAACTAATAAGAATAAGAAGGAACAAGAAGGACCTCACATTATTACATTATTACTCACATAATTGAATTTCCCTTCTGAGATAAATAAAGTATTTTTCATTCATTTCATTTCACATACAGCACCCTCAATAATTATTGGTTAAGATGTGTTAAAAGCCTTAAAATCAGTTTTTATTGCAGAAGCATACTCTCACACTGAAAATTGTAGAAAAATGTAACCGTCAACTCAACTCAAATGAATTGTGGGCAAAAGGGGGGTTGTACAAAGTATGAACATCAAGGGTGCTACGAAATGTGACGCACATGATTTGATATTTGTTGGTCTGTAAAAGAATTATTTTATAATGTGGGATTTTTTCCACACTGAATAAACGCACTTGAATTAAAGGTTGAATTTTCCTCTTTTTTTTCATTGTGGTCCAATATTATTTAGAAAAAAACTGAATTTACTAGAAGCTAAAGAACACATCTTAACCAGGGGAGCCAATAATTATGGAGGACGCTGTATATAAAAATTAATAAAAAGAAAGAAAGAAAACAAGTAGAACCTTAAGGGTCATGTGACCACACCACGCTGAAGTTAGGGTTCTGAGAGGCAGGCCTGGACCAGGTGTCACCACCCAGGGGTCCCTTGCTGGCCTTAGCAGCCACACCCTGGTGTCGAGTCCATCAGCCCCTGAAGCAGACTGGTGGTGTTGGACATTGGGCCGTGGGGTGACAAGACGCCCAGGTGGTTGCGGGTTAGCGTGCCTTGGAATACCTGCATGGAAGCCGACAGGCAGAGCAAAGGAGAGCAACACGCTGCCTCACCAAGACATACGACAGGCTGCTTATGAACCAGATGAGCTGAACTTCTTGTTTTCATTCTGTGCTTTCACGGCAGTTTGCATCGAATGCATTCAGGTGAAGCTATGAACTGTCCTCGATGCACTGATTGGTCTCCTGAAAGCGATGTTACACCAGCATGATGTATTCATATAGTAGTGTTGGTTTTATTAATCCAGTTATGGGATGTCTGAGATTGTAGCCGCTGCAATAGGGGTGAGAAGAATTTCATTTGAGATGTTCACAGCTTAAAAACATTCCACTTAAAGCCCCTTACCCGTCATTTATTTACCCCCTGAAGACTCATGTCGGCGTATCAAAGGCACACATTAACAAGTTCTTCCATAAAAACAATCCCTTTGTTAAAATGGTTCTGATATAACTGCACATTTGTTGCTTCCTTACATCTGTAAGGTCCCCATCTCTACCTATCTCCACCCACCCCTCCCCGTTTACTGTAGCTTAAGCACACCAGCTCACTTACAACTCCGACACTATAACATGGCTTTATGCTACTCTATGCTGTGACACTGGAGTAATTCAGTCACACGTGCTCGGATCAGAAACCAGTTCTGTAGGGGAATCATGATTCAGAATGTTAGTACAGAGAGCTACACGCTGCAGGTTTACAGAATCAGTTCCCTAAAGTCTGAATCTGTGTTTTTTAAACTGTCACCATGACGCTGACTGTTTCTACCACTCATGATCCAGCATATTAAAAACACCATATGGACGTGTAACAAGGTAAATAACTGTAAAGGATTAGGAGCCTCTGTGCTCGTTGGTTTTATGAATCCAACAGCAATACAACGGGAGTATAGAGAGTTTCACTGGAGGTGTCCAGAGCATCAAAAATGTACATTAATACATCTTCATGAGAAGTACTTTCTAACAAGCAGAGGAATAAACCTCCCCTCTCCAGAACGCCTTCCTTCTTTCCTCTCCCTGCCTGCAACAGAGTGCAAACAAAGACAGCTTCCCACAGTATTAAAGTAAAACGGTGACTTGGACTAAGCTGCAAGGTTGATGAGTGGACATTAATGAGTCCTCTCAAGGTTATCCACTGCTTTAAGCCACCACTGATGATGTGTCTACTCCAGAATTATGGGTAATGAAACCTGACAAGTGTCTTTTGACTGACATTGTGAGGTCAATTTACCCTCAGACAAATTGCACATCACTCGTAAAAACATTTGCATGCACATTAGCATGGAAGACACAAAGAAAGAAAAAAAAAACCAGTGGATGTATGTAAGTTATTTTCCATTGAAAGTATGTTTCTTAACCTTTCTGTATTTGGCGGTTTTGCAGCCCACATGATCATCGTATATTGCAAAAACAACCTGATTAATGTAAGGTAAAACAGATGTTTTGTAAATTTACATTGCAATAGACTCCAGAATCAATGAAAGCGCTTGTGTTAACTCTGCCGCAGGCTGCACTTACTCTCAGCTGCATTTTCCCAACATGAACCCTTGTTGTGTGTTTTCTTTTAAGTGCCATTTCAATTCTGCAAGACACATTGTGTGCACCTCAGGTAAGTAAACTGTTTGAAGTCATTATATATTATATTTCTGGGGCCTCTGAAGGACAATGGGAGACTGTACTGTCCTTTTTTCAGTGCTAAGTTCTCTTAAATGAATATTATCTGGACCTGTTTACTCTTTCAGTTCCTTGAAATGTGAAACCTCACTGGTTCCCAGTACCCACTACTGATAAGGGCTTTTTGTATTTGTCTCTGTGAGTGTGTATCTGCATGTCATATTGTTTTTTTTCTCCTATGTAAAGGCAACAGCCCTGCCATTATCATTTGGTAGGGATGCCTGAAACAGCATGCCCCAGTCTGCTGCCACTTAATTACCTTCCAGTCAGCCTGAAGAAATCTGGCTCTCATCCAGACGGACTCTCTGGAGAGGAGTGAGAAGTACTTCTAAGCCATTGGTTTCAATTTACCAAGGGACAGATATTACTTAAACATGAGCTTCAATGCAAACGTTAAAATGAGAGTGTACCATAAAATAGAATTACACTATATAGTGATTGTGACCAATGACGTCAACATCCCCAAAAACACAAACATCTCCCTCAAGATGGAAACGAGAGCATCAGATTATTAATTTATTGCGTCATCAGCTGCCAGTTCAGGGAGTTGGTCCAGTGACAAGTTCGGTTTAGGGTGTATTTTCCTTTTAAGAGGCGAATGACTCAGCTGATTCTTAAGCAAAGTGCTTACTGCAGAGTCATGGAACAGATACTGAGAGTCGCATACAAGGAGGATGACAGCATGGTTTGTGTGTGTCGCACAGTTGTTGATCATTTAAAAACTTGTAACATGAGTCTCACACTACAGCTTTAACGTTTACTTCATGCATGGACTGCAGTTGTCCAACACGGTTACTGCAGGTAGAGTATCCTCCCGACACACTGTGATTTTGAAGGGGAAAGTCAAGGGCTAGCTTTGACCTCTACTGCGCACCACAGTTGGATCTGTTGGCCACCGAGCAGATCTTCTGTTGAGGGTAAACGGTCTCGCTAAAGGACACTTCGTTGGTGGTAATGAG